TATCACTTATTGAGAGGATTATTTCTCAATTACTCCAAATCTAGAAAAAATTAATCTCAAGTTCAAATTTAAGTATATCTTTATTTCACCTAAAAAAAGGAGGGAACAATCATCATTGGTTGGCCAAAAAATAAAATCATCATAGGTAAATAAATTGATTCATTGAAGGGGGACAAAACCTTCGAATTTGTTTTATTTTGGCATGCTGTAGGGTAACGCTCCCGTTTTTATTATAAATCACTTTTAGGAAGAAAAATTTTATCCTAAATATAACTCACTTATAAAATACATAATTTAAGCAATGCTAATTATTTTCTAATTTTTTCTTCATTTAATTCTCATTAAAAAAAAGGAAAAAATGTGAGAATAATGTGCATAGAAAGAAAATATTCGTCCCCATCTCAACATCATCTTCATCAACTGACAAAGGGAACCCTCCGTCATCCCCATTGACGCCTCAAATGCGGCGTCGTCTTCATCCCAATTCATATATCATTTTTAAGATTGGCATGTCCTAGCATTTAATTCTAATTAATATAAACTTTTTTGGTAAACCTTACTCTTCTGATTTTATTTATAAAGTAGAGAGAAAATATATTTTTTACTCTTATTTATAGAATATTGAGAGAAATTTTTTATATAGAGATACAATTTTATCCTTCATTTATTATTGTGTTGATTTTGTTTACATAAGCTATAATGTATATTTAATAGGGATAAAATTAAAAAGTTAATAAATTTTAAATAAAAATTAATAAAATTTAAATTTTTAAAATTGATGTGAAACATATTAAAAATAACTTATAAATAAGATCGGATAAGTATTTGCTAACAAGGGCTTCAGTGGGATTTCACGTTCGGTATAGAAGGAATACAAACACCACAATGAGTTGGATCTTATCTTTCAATAGATCGTTTCCACACCTAAGACAAAGTTGCTCCCACTTGGGTTCTCCATCGGGTTTTCTCACCCTCCATCCAACCTCTAGCCGTTTGTATTTATTTATTTAAGTGTTTATAAATATTTTTAAATCTTATAATCCGCGTTCCATCGAGTTAACAATTTTTTTTTTTAACAGGAAAAGTCAAATCAGTCTACCACCTCACTTGCCTTTGTGGAAGTGTTTTAAAAAGATTGCCCATATGTCATGATTTTTTAACAGACATTTGGCCATTTGGGCACAACTAAGTATAGATAAAATTGCATCATAAATAATATTACATCTGTTTTTTAACATAAGACTCAGTTGAATAATTTAAAAATATTAAGAAAGCTTAATAAATAAATTAATTAGAATATATATTGCATGAACTACTTATATGTATCATTATATTATATATAAATTTATAACTAAATAAAATAAAATACTGTAAAATGATTTATTTATCTTCTTTAATCTTTTCAAATTAGTTAATTGAATATTGTATTAAGTATAAAGAAAGTATTATGATGCTATTTTACCCTTCAATTTTTCTAATGATGTGGCGGGTTGATGACATATAAATATATATTTAGATATGAATAAAATACGTTGATTACCCCTCTATTTCACTTAAATTATAGAAACCTCCCTTCTATTTTGAAAACATATATAAACTTCCCTTCAAATTAAAATGTATGTTACACAAACCTCCCTTATATTTTTAAAATTCAATTTCCATCCATCCAACCGTTTGTTGACCGTTAAGTTTGATTTTTAAATTTTTATTATGTTCAAAATATCCCTCTTTAACATAAATGTTATTTATACATTTATATCTTTTAAAAAAATAATTTTTGATACAACAAAAAATAATTATAATACATGTATTTTCAAAATTTTTAATATTTTATAAAATTTTTAATTTCAATTATAGTATAGAATTATATAATTTTAGTTCCTCATAAAATATTGAAAATTAAGATTTTTTTAAATGACTAGAAAATATTTTGAATGCTTATTTTCTTATCACATAATATAAATTATGCGAGTTTGAAAACTTATATAAACCATTTAAATTTATGTTTGCATGAACTAAATTACTTAATTTTTGGCCTAATACAATAAAAAAATTAAACAAACAACAATTTTCAAAAATAAAATAAATAAAATTAAGGTAAAGGAGAAAATTTTTAATTCTTCGATATAGTTTTAACCAAGATTTTGGGATTTAGGATTATGAATGGTAATTTAGCAAATAGAAAGTATTTCAATATAAATTTGAATTTAAAAAAAATATCTTTTTGAAATATTCTTAACAGAGTTAATGGTTTAGATTTAAGTGTATGTTTTCAAGATAAAGAGGAGGTCTGTGTAATTAAGACAAAATACAAGAGAGGTTATAGTATTTTACTCTTTAGATATTAATTGCTGAGTTGTGTTTGAAATTTTCATTAACTTCACAAAAGTAAAACAATGAAATGGTCGTAAGCATCATAACAAGCTCTTGATTTGCTTGGATTTGATTTCAGTTCCTTGGGATGATACACTTGAAAGTAATATTTATTTAGGAAAAAAAGGTTTTACAATACATAGAGAGTTGAAATGATATTTTTATTTATTTTGATATTTTTTAATTATAAGTTGACCTATAATTTAATTTTTCACTTGTTTGCGGAAATTGGCACCTTTAGGTGCGGCATTCACATGGCCGACCCCTAAAATAAGAGACCTTTGTGAATAAATTAAGAGTCCTTTCTTTGGACTTTGGAGCAAAATTCATTTTCATTTAAGTCCATCTCTATATATATTATTTAAATTTCTAATAAGCTATACTCTTTGTAATGTATTAACAATGTAATTTGATCACTCTTAATAATAAACCTCATAAAATGATTAAATATTATGAAGATATTATATCATTCATTTTTTGTTTACGTTTATTTCCATCTTAAGTTTTAGATTAACCCTTGGACAAAATTTCAATTAAATAAATGTATACAATATTTTAACAACCAAATTTAACTAAAATTTAAGGAAATAATAGTATAAAATATTTTAGCAACCAACTTTTCAATTTTAGATAAAACCTCAGGCCTAAGAACATTTTTGGAAAAAAATAATTATAACATGATAGATTTTCAAATAATCAACTTAGGGATAGCTAGGTTTGAGAATTTATTAATATTAATATTAATTTTCTTAAAATAAATATATATATGATTTTTCAATCATAAATTATTATAATCACGGTTTCGTCCATATAAAGAAATTTAAATTGATCATAGGAACAAATAAATAATCCATACTTAATCTAGTTGCACTGGGCCTAGTTTTTGAGCCCTAAGCCCACAATTTAGTGAAGAATTTTGATTTTAGACTTGGACTTTTTATAACAAAAATGCGGCCATATCAATTAACTTGTTAGTCGACCATCTTTTAAGGGGAAAAAAATAAATATCTACACTAAAAAATAACAAAATAGTACATTTATATTGAAAATTCAATGAAGTGACTTATAAACATGAGTAAAAAATCCTTCTCTCTCTACCTTATAAATAGAGCTAGAGGATTATATGTTAGAGAATCGATGGCAAAACCAAAATACATACCAAAGAATTACTCACTCTGCTCCTTATTATGAGTTTTAAATAACCAACTTACGTATAATAAATAATTAGTTAAAATTATTTTAAAATAATAAATAAATTAAAAATATATTTTGTTTTCAAATATGCTCTTATAATAAATGAGAAAAAAAGATGAAAGAGAATATGTGGGGAAATATAAAATAGAGAAATAATTATGGATAACATTAAAAAAAAAATATCAAATGTTAAGACAAACCCTAAATTGAAGCTTATAAAATAGATCACACTCCTTCATAAATTTGAAACTTATAAATAGAAGCCGGGGAGTATTAGGTAAATGCAAATAATCCTGTGTTATGAGGGTTCAGTTTCAAGATTAGAACTGATCAAATTAAAAATTAAACAATTCATATTTAATCTAATTTTTTTATAATTTAATTTTAATATATGTAAAGTCTAAAATAAAAATTATGTCCTAGATGTCCGATTTTAAGAATTATTTTCTTACTTAAAAGCCATCCATTAATAATTTTAAATGTAGACCGTTACTGCAAAGATTATCATAATATTGGTCATAAAATCGATTCCTAGTACAAGCCATTCTGATAAAAGTTGTGGGCGGGCAGTTGAGCCATCAAAAGGACAATAACTTGGCACCCAAATTAGCTTCTTTTTTTTTAGTCTCTTTTTATTTTTATTTTTAATTGCTTGTTTTCAACAAGCATCATCCCAAGTTGTGGATTTTCTTGCTTTAGTAAATTTACTTTCACCAGAACTAGAGTAACACATTCTAAACTTTATTAAATGATAAAATGTATGCCTATTGCTTTCATATATCTCTACCTTAGCATGCCATTATTCGCAAACTAATCCTTCATGCTCTCTAAAATTGGTGTCTCCAAACAATAGCTTGATAGGAGTCATTCCCATGACCTTGACTACTTCTAATTCACTGCAAGTCCTGTGGGTGTTTTTGCTAAACTTCAATGATCTTATGCACATGTAGAAATTAAGTTATATACATGTGTGTGTGTATAATGATGAAGTGTAAGCGCATAGTCATTAATGAGCGAGAGCATATCAAAATTCTACTAATCACTCTATTCCACTTACTAGTTTTAGGCAATAATGTTACTGGAGCTATTATTGCTCTAAATGTTTATTAATAGAAGAAAAGACAAAAAGAATATTTCTTTGATGTTCTTGGTAATAAGTTGAATAATGGAAAAGATGCTATATATAATAATTGATGATTTATGTGATAGCCATGATTGATTTACTAATATTTTGCCTTTTTACTGGCAGCTGATCTGAGGAGGACCTTGAAACTCACTTTGGTCAACTTGAAAAGTTTTAATTTGCAAAAGATAAGTTTAGTAACGAAAACATTATGGGTAGAGGCGGGTTTGGTGAGGTTGCTTCTATGTATGCATTTCTTATAATTCAATTTTGATACCTTATTATTTAAACAGAATAAGACAATATCAACTGCAACAAATTAAACATATGGCATATTTCAAATCTAGACTTTGAAGCAAGTCGTTAAAAGTTTCATATGAGGTACAAAGCAAACAATGAGCCAAATCTCCAAGCTTTTTATTACATTATTGGCATATCTTCATTCGCTAAATGTTGGATTGAGATATTATTGAAAGGAATTGCTAATGGAAGGCTGGAAGATAAAAGCCTTTGAGACACCTGTTGCATTGATGGTCGAGATTTGGGAGATGGGTTCAAGCATGCTAATGCTATTGTCACCAAAAGAGTTATATCTCTTGCATCTTTCTGTGATGGCAAAGGGAGACGTGAGTCTAAAATATCCTTAAGCAAAATGCTTCTTGTACAGGTCTTTGACAAAGATAATATCAAATCTCCAGGATGTCTTCCCATAATGGTTTCTAATGTCACCACCCCGAAACTATAAACATCGCATTTTTCAGTAACAACTAAGGTGTATGCAAGCTCTGCAATGGACCAAAAATTAAATAATTATGTATTTATTCTAAGACAAGCAATATACTATAGAAATAAAATACAACATAAAAGGAACAGTAGTAGAGAATTAGAAAAGCCCACCTGGAGCAACATAACCATAAGTACCAACTAAAAGAGTCTGATTAGATGTATCTGGATCAATGATCCTAGCTGTGCCAAAGTCTGATAAAAAAGCTTCCATCTTTGAGTTCAACAATATATTATTGCTTGTTATGTCTCGGTGGATAATTGAAGGAGCACAGTGATGATGCATATACAACAAAGCATTTGTTATTCCTTTAATGGCATTCACTCTCTTACTCCAATTCAACTCCTTAGCTTCATCATCATAATTCAACACATAAAAAAGGCTTCCTCTTTCCATGTATTCATATATGAGAAACATGCATTGATTATGCAAACAAAAACCATGAAGCTTTACTATATTGCGATGTCGAATTTCACTCAACATCTTCACTTCATTGTGAAAACTCTTGGCCAAAAATGTGTTTCCATATTCTCTTCTATGGAGTTTTTTCAATGCTATGATTTTGCCACTTGGAAGTTGTGCCCTATAAACACTTCTATAAGCACCAGTTCCGATACAATATTTGATGTCAAAGTCCTCTGTTGCTTCAATGATATCTTCATATGCAATTTTTCCATCATAATTCCATATGAAAAACAAATCCCCATTTTTTGCTTCTCTTGCCTTACTTATGGATTTCTTGTGCTTTTTGAATGATTCAAATAAGATAAAACCCACAACAAATGTGATGACAAGAAAAATTGTCAAAGGAATAATGATTTTCAGCCAAGACTTTGAGCCTTTATGTATCTTCTCTGGCGTAAGTAATTCTCTATTACCATTTAAAATGTCATGAGGAAAAGAGCTATAAACTTCACTTGGAACATAGCCGCTAAGAAGATTGTATGACAAGTTGATGTATTGTAGTCTACCAAATTCTCCAGGTATGCTACCAGAGATACTGTTGTAGCTTAAGTCAATGCTACATGATGGTGGCTCACTGCATATACTAGATGGTAATATTCCATTGAATTTGTTGTGACTAAAGTTACCATCAACATGTAAGTAATCATTCAAAATGTCTGGTACATTTCCATTCAAATTATTTTGGGAGACATCTACATGAAAGTGATTGTTGAAATTTTCTAATTTTTCTGGAACACCACCACTTAATTGATTTTGAGAAACATCAAAATGTTGTAAATCTCTCAAATTGAAAATCAAAGAAGGGATACCACCTGTAGTGAATAAATTTGAGTATAAATATAAGTTGTGGAGATTTGTCATAAAACCTGAAGTTTAAAGAATGACCATAACTATTTTTTTGTTTCTACTCAAATCTAACGATTCTAAATAAAGTTGGGAAGGGTGGAAGGTAGAACACCTGAAAAGTTGTTGCAAGACAAGTCCAAATAATTGAGATTTTGAAGGCCTGCTATATGAGTTGGAATGATACCTGTCACCATTCCATGAAAATTCAAATATAATATTTTTTATATTATATGAGTTGGGAAAGGTGGAAGGTAGGACACACCTGTAAGGTTGTTGCAAGACAAGTCCAAATAATTAAGATTTTGAAGACCTCCTATGTGAGTTGGAATGGTACCTGTCACCATTATATGAAAATTCGAATATAATATTTTTTTTATAACATAGTGAACAAATGTGTGCACAAATGTAAGTCTTTTATAGTTGTCATACACCCAGTACTGAACCAACGACTCCAATTAGATTGTTTCTATTCAAATTGAGTAATCTTAAATAATTAAGGTTAGTGGAAGTAAGTAAAATTATTACAAGACAAGTGTAAATATTGGATGAATGAATGAAGGGTTCTAATTTGAATTAAAGTTGTACCTGTTATCCCCATTCTAGAAATATTTAAGTATTTTAGTCTTTCTAATTCAGTGAAGTTGAGATCTACTAGTTGAGGATGCTGTGAATAGATTCTTGGTTGGTTAATTAAGATAACTCTTCCTAAGCCATCGCATGGTATGCCATCCCAGTCACAATAGTAGTGGGAGCCACCATTGCTTAAGTTCCACCATTTTCTTTGAAGCAATGCATGCTCATTCCTTGCGGTCATGGCAGTTGTGATATTATAGCCATGTGTTTGAATAACAAAAGCTTACACTATCACTTTAGAAGTTTCACTGAAGGAGTTTCCATTACAACCAAAAGCTTGTTTCTTTATTATTGTGGTTAATTCATAAAGCATTCAGCATATTATTCTCTTTTCCTTATTACATTGGGAGAATTACAATCAAGTCTTAAGGAAGAAAAATAATTACAAAATAAGTTCTAAAAATTGTCATTGTGTACTTTGGCACTTGTCATTATAGGCTGCTGAGGTTGTTATTGTTTTAGTAATTATTTCTCTTCCTTGGAGCTTGATTGTAATTCTCCCTATTATGTTTGAATTGTTTGTATCATAAAGCTTAAAAGTGACTTCGTAATGCTATAGTTTTTTTTTAGCTCAAAACATATGCTAGGTATTTTGATCATTTAAAACACGTCTTCAATGTAATATTTCATTTTTCCTTTTTTTAATTTAGATAAGGATGAGAAGTAACTCACTTGAAACAATATTGTTGTAAGACAAGTTTAGATATGTGAGTTGTAGAAGATCTTCTATTTGAGTTGGAACGGGATCTGTCAAAATCAAAACACATTCCTTTTAATTGCAAATGTATGTCTTAGGTTATTTTTGATCAAATAAAAAGTTGTTATGAAACAAGTTCAAATAATTGAGATTTTGAAGAGCTCCTATCTGCGTTGGAATGGTACCTAGTAATAACCTATTTTATTAAGTCATAAAGGTAAATATAACAGTTTTAAATTGAGTGAATTTGTAAGGTATAGTATAAGGCACATAAATTACTAGTAAGATTGTTATAAGATAAGTTCAAATTTATGAGATTAAGAAGAACTCCAATCTGAGTTGGAATGGTACTTATCAACTCTATTCCATGATTATTCAGCTATATACTACTAGTTCTTTTGTGATGCAATAAATAAATTTGTGTACAAAAACAAGTCTTTAATATTTTTCATAAAATACAAAGTTGAATGAACGGGTCCAACTGGATTGTTTCCATTCATATTGAGCAACTTTAAATGAGTAAGGTTGGCAAGAGTGTAATGTAAGTAAGATTATTGTAAGACATTAGATGAATGAACGAATGAATAAAGAGCTTCGCTTAAAATCAGAGTGGTACCTGTTAACCTCATTCTAGAAAGATATAAATATTTTAGTTTTTGTAATGTGGTGAAGTTAAGATCTACTAGCCGAGGTTGCTGTGAATGGATTCTTAGTTGTTCTATTGAAATTACATTTCCAAAGACATTACAAGATATGCTATCCCAGTCACAAGGGTAGTCGAAGCCATTATTGTAGATTATCGTCAGTTGAATAAGGTCACAATTAAGAATAAGTATCCCCTTCCAAGAATTGATGACTTGCTTGATTAACTTGTAGGTTCTTCTGTGTTCTCCAAAACTGATTTAAGGTCTGACTATCATCAGTTAAGGATCAGGGTAGAGGACATTCCCAAGACCACTTTCAAACTCGTTATGGTCACTATGAGTTTCTAGTGATGCCTTTTGGATTAACAAACACCCTAGCGGTGTTTAGGACTATATGAATAGAATTTGCAGGCCTTATTTAGATCAGTTTGTTGTAGTTTTCATTGATGATATCTCATGTACTCAAAAAGTGAGGAGGAGAATCGTAAACACCTTCATATTGTATTACAAATATAAAGAGAGAACAAGTTGTATGCCAACTTGAGCAAATGTGAGTTTTTGTTAAAGGAGGTAAAGTTTTTAGGTCATGTGGTATCTGCCAAAGGTGTGGTCGTAGATCCAAGTAAAGTAGAGGCAATGTTAAAATGGGAAACTCCCAAGTTTGTGACTAAAGTAAGAAGTTTTGTGGGGTAATCAGGTATTACCGCCATTTCATTAAAAGCTTTTCTCAAATAGCCATGCCACTAACTAACCTGATGAAGAAGGACAAACCTCTTGTATGGACAGAAAAGTGTGAAGCTACATTTCAAGTGTTGAAAATGAAGTTGACCATGACACCTGTCCTCACTATACTTGAACCATCACTATCGTATACGGTGTACACAGATGCATCTTTGAAAGGTTTGGGCAGTGTATTGATGCAAGATAATAGGGTAGTAGCTTATGCATCTGGACAATTGAGACCTCATGAGGAAAATTACCACACCTATGACTTGGAACTAGTAGCAATTGTGTTTGCCTTAAAGATTTGGAGACATCATCTTTATGGTGTGTAGTGTGAGATTTTCAGTGACCATAAAAGCTTAAAGGACCTGGTAGATCAGAAAGAGTTAAATAATCGTCAATGAAGAGGGATGGAATTCTTAGTGGATTATGATTTTGAAGAGAATACCATCCAGGGAAGGCTAATATGGTGGCTAGTATATTGGGTAGAAAGACAATTCATGTTTTCTATATGAGTATGACAGAGCATCACTTGCTAGAGGAGCTAATAGAAATACCAATTATGGCTAAGATAATGGAGATTATTGTTACTTTAAATGGAGTGCTTGGGGACTTTGACTTTTTTAAAGAGTTGAAGATAGCCCAAATGAAGGATGATGAATTAATAAGGGTAAGAGAAGAACTAGAAAATGGAGCTGTATCGGATTATGACATTGAAGACGAAGGAATCTTAAGGTCCAAGAGAAGGATTTGTGTTCCAGATAATAAAAAAATAAAAAAGACAATTCTTGAGGAGGCACATAGAACTAAATACACCATTTACTCTAGAATAACCAAGATGTACCATGATCTAAGACAAGAGTATTGGTGGCCAGGGATAAAGTGTGATATGACTAATTTGGTACTCAAGGGTTTGACTTGTTAGAAAGTCAAAATTGAACACCAACAGCCACCGAGTTTAATCCAAAACTTGGAAATCTCTAAGTGAAAATAGGATATCATTTTAATGGACTTTATCATTGTAGATAGGCTAACAAAGTCATCCTACTTTCTCCCAATCAAGTCTACTTATTCTATGGAAAAACTCGCTCAATTGTACGTAGATGAGATTATGAGATTGCATGAGATACCAAAAGATATCATATCAGATTGAGATATGCAAGGAGCCTTTCACACAAAGTTGAAGTTCAATACGGCGTATCATCCCCAAACTGATGGTCAAACTGAGAGAACCATCCAAACTCTCGAGGATATGTTGAGGGCTTGTGCCATTGAATTTTTGGGTAGTTGGGATCATCATGTTCCACTAGCAGAATTCGCCTATAATAATAGCTATCATGCGAGCATCCAGATGGCACCTTATGAAGCATTGTATGGAAGAAAGTGTAAATCACCACTGTGTTGGATTGAATTGAGTGATAGAACCATTGTTGGCCCTGGCTTTGTGGATGCAACCATAAAAAAGATTGAATTAATCAAAGTTGATGACCACTCAGAGTCTCTAGAAGAGTTATGCAAATTAACGGAGGCCTTTGAAATTTGAATTGGGTGACTGTGTTTTTGAAAGTTTCACTAGTGACTGGTATTGGTAGATCTATTAAGGCCAAGAAGCTGACTCCTCGATACCTTAGACCTTATGAGAAGTGAATTGGACCGATCACTTATCAAATTACATTACCACCGCATCTCTCTGATGAGCACAATGTCTTTCATGTGTCACAACTCAAGAAGTATCATCCAGATCTATCTCATGTGATCGAGACTGAGGAGATTGAGTTATAAGAGAATCTTACCTTTCAAGCTAAGCTCAAATGTATTCTAGATGTTAAGGATAAGCAACTTCGGAATAAAACAATCCAGTTACTTTAGGTTTTCTAGAAAGACATGTCTCCTGGTGATGCCCCTTGGGAAACTGAGGAGCGAATGTGACATGATTATCCACATCTGTTTTCTTAAGTATGTGTTGATGTGCTGATTATGTACTATCTTGTGTGTTGATAGTATGTGTGTAGTGATATTGTCTATTTCTTTAATGTTGTTATGTTTCTATATTTCTTACGTGTCACAAATTTTAAAGACAAAATTCTATTTAGAAGGGGAGAGCTTAACATCCTAAATGTTATTTTAGTATTAAAAAAACTATTATGATTTCAAAATAATAATAATTAAATCATATAAAATAATAATATTTTATTATTATAAATAATAATACTTTATTAAAAAAAGAGAGAAAGTAAAAAAAAAACACGCACTTTCCACCAAATTCAGTGGAAAAGGCAAGAACATTTAAGAAGAAGAAGAAAAATAGAGGAGGTTAATAAATAAAGAAATAAAAATAGGATGAGACGGTTGAGTGGGAAGGATAAATAAGAGGAGGGAGTGTTAGGTAGAGAAGAAAAGAGAAAGAGAGGGAGAGAACGAGACTCAGAGAAAGAGAGGAAGAGAGTGAAGTAGAGAAACATTAACATTTTGAAGAGTAATACAAGCTTTGTGGATTATTTAGGTACATAAAAGTACTTCTTTTTATTAAATTTTCTTTTTGAATATTTTTTATATATTTAGAGCTTTATATTAGTAGTATCATTATAATGTTTAGAGAAAATTTTGAGATTTAGGTATGAAGTAAGTATTGAGTTTTGACAATAGATGACCATAGAAATTTAAAGGTAAATAAGTAGTTAATTTTAATCAGTCCATATATGTCCATTTATTACTTTTGGTATTTGAAATCAAATTTATTTTGTTGAAAAATTTGTCATTTATGATATATATATATATCATATTTATACCAATTACAATTAAGTTAAATAATTTATTTGGGTTGTTTGATATATTATTGAAATTTTAATCAGTTTATATTTATTCATTGATTGTTTTGAAAATTTTACACTAAGATTTTAGTTGAAAAATGTATTATTGAAGAGATATAGAATGTTTTTACCAATTAAATTTAAATTAAATAACTTATTTGGGTTATTTAATATATTATTGAGATTTTGATTGGCTTAAAATATGAAATAGGTTAAGGATATATTATTGGAAAAGATTTTTAAGCTAGAAACTTAAGTTATAAATTAAAAATTTTACATAATTAAATAAAATCAATATTTATTTGTAATTTAAATGAGTTATTTGGGTAAAGAAAAATTGTTATTTGAAGTAAGAATTTTTGAGTAGTAAATATATGTATATATTAATAATAATAAATCCTATGTAATTTAAGTTATTTATTTGTATGTATATTAAATTGTATCTGCATTATTTGTAGATCATTATTTGTATATTACTTTATATTTTGGAGTCTGTAATTTGTACTTTTCTTTCTCAAGCTGTGAGTTAAGCTTGGAGTAGAGGTAACCAAGGTTAATTTATTTTATATACATGCTTTGAATTGTAAGGTGTTTACTACATTTTTATTTTCTCAAATAAATTTGTGAAAGTATGTCTATGAATAAAGTATGTATTTTTTTACATGACAAATTTTGATAAATTGGGAAGTATGCCGATTTAATTATGCCTAAATTGTATTTTATTGAGAATTATGTTTTTTTTGTGATACACTGATATTGAATTTGATATACTAATATTATATTATTAAATAAATGAAAATATGTTGTACTTTGTTTGAAACTATATCATCTTACTTCGCAGAACTATGATATTTTTAATTTATATTGTGACTAAGCATGGGGTTCATATGTGGAGGTTGAGATTTTGTTATGTGGGGGATAATTGTTCTTGAAGCCCGCGTGGTATGCCTACACTACTAATCATCCTGTTTGGTCTTTCTGTCAGACCCATATAGTTCTTCCTTTTTCTTGGCCCGAAATTGAGAAAGAGCTCCTGGGTAGACACATCTTGCACCATAGTCCATTCTTGAGATGTGTAGGTGCAAGAGGGATCCGTTGCTTGATGTGAGTGGGGTGATCTTTGACCAGGTTACTTAGCACAAAAAGCCCAGAATCTTGTCAAGGAGCCATAAGGAGAAGTATGGTGATGGGAGGCATATTTTATTGTGTTGTTGCATATGTGTACTTTTGCATGAAGTATGCCATGGTTATCATCAAAAAAATGGTTTTATAATTATGTATTAAGAAGGGATCATTTCAAATACAGTATTTTTAAATTGGAGAAAATTTGCAAGAGTAGAAATGGAAGATATATAACACACCAGTAAGATTATTAGAAGAGAAGTCTAAATAAGTAAGATTTTGAAGAGCTCTTATTTGGGATGAAATAATCCTTGTCAATAAAGATATTAGGTTGTGTGGAGGTAAATACAATATTTCAAAATTTAGTGAATTTGTAAGGTAACTGTAGAAATGGAAGATATATAACTTACTAGTAAGACAATTACAAGACAAGTCTAGCTCAATCAGATTATGAAGAGATCCTATCTGTGATGGAATGCTCCCTGTCAATAGAGGTATTAGGTTGTGAGGAGATAAATACAATATTCCAAAATTTACTTAATTTGCAAGATAAGAGTAGAAATGGAAGACATATAACTCAGCAGTATGACTGTTAGAAGACAAGTCCAGATAAGTAAGCTTTTAAAGAGCCCTTATGTGGGATGGAATAATCTCTATCAGTAGATGTACTAGGTTGTGTGGGGGTAAATATAAAATTTCTAAATTGAGTGAATTTACAAGAGTAGAAATGAAAGATATATAACTCATAAGTAAGAGTGTTAGAAGATAAGTATAGATGAATCAGATTATCAAGAGATCCTATCTGTGATGGAATGATCCTTATCAATAAAAGTATTAGGTTGTGTGGAGGTAAATATAATATTACAAAATTGAGTGAATTTACAAGATAAGAGTAGAAATGAAAGATATATAACTCATAAATAAAATTGTTAGAAGATAAGTATAGGTGAATATGATTATGAAGAGATCCTATCTGTGATGGAATGATCCTTGTCAATAAAAGCATTAGGTTGTGTGGAGATAAACACGATATTTCAAAATTTAGTGACTTTCCAAGGTAAGAGCAGAAATAGATGAAGGGAATTGAAAGACGACACGCAGCGGAAAACAACACAAAATTTTAAAACTTTTCAATCCCTTGCCCGGATCTACCGATCGCGTTTAAGTCAGGTAGTAAGAAGTATTACCTTCGGTGTTCGGTTTCCGAGTAGCTTGGTGATTCCGCCGTTCAGGATGCCTCTGCTCGCCTCCTTTATCGTTCGAAGTCGACAACTCCGGTCGGCTTCCTCTACCGGTATCCACACGAGTAGCCCTCAACCTCGAACGACGTGCTAGCGTCTATGTCCGTCTAGGGTTTCCAGAGAATCCGTCCACTCTTATCTCTCTTAGGCCGTCTCTTATCTGTTGGTTCTCTCACACCTAAAACCCTAGCTCCTCATATCAAATATATAGGATGCTATAGGTTTAATGAATAATATTTAATTTCGAAATTAACTCTAAATTAATTCCGAAATTAATACAATATCAAATATTGCCTAATCAGATAAGAGAACAATTAAATAAATATGGTTTAAATTAAATCCGTCTCACAGATTTAATTCACTTATTTATTTAATAAAGAGATGACGGAATTAATTTATATATTTAATTTATCCTTATAAATTAAATCTAACAATTAATATCTCTTATATTTATATAATAATATATATATACGAATATATATATATATACACACACGTCCATCCTATTTATTCATTGAATCTAGACATATCCTAGATTCAATGAATCTGGACATCATAACTCGTGTTGGGCTATTTTGTGTGCGACCCTGTAGGCCCATATGAAGTTGGCAGTGGGCCATTAACTATAATGACTCACAAGTCGTAAGCGGTCTCTAGCAAGACATCACGACTACCCAAATCATATGAGGATCGTTGAACGATGTAACCTTTCATACAACCATATCGCGTCCCTTTTGTCACACGACATTTTGGTCATGGACGAGGCATAGAGAACGTCATCTTCCTATTCATGACCGTTACTTTCTCGATCCCTGAGTAGTCTGAGTATAGAAACGGAACTACCTTTCCATTATAGTATGGCCATACATTTCTCAGACTCACTCATCGAGGGGCCCAGTAATGTCTCTCTACGAATGTGAGGGACAAATTCCATCTTGACCATTCATATTCCTCCGCATGAAAAACTATTAAGCCTGAACATAGTCTTTATGATCACTTGGTCAAAAGTGACTTTTGACTAGGTCAAAGCTAAGCGTCTCTTATGTAGGAATCCATGATGATCTCAAGTCAAAGGGCACAGTGACATGGTTTGTATATGAGAGAAGCTTATGACTTAACCCATGCAGCTCTCTCATAGCGGGTCAGTCCAACACCTTGTACTCTTACATGTGCCTATGACTTTAATTTATATCTCTATATATCTTTAAAGTCATACTGGTCTTATTTCATCTTTGCTCCCACATAGATGACCGACCAGGGACATTTAGGATAAACCATGAGTTATCCAAGGATAGTCATCACAGTAAACATGCAAATAATATGATAACGTAATTAATAAATTCATAAATGAACAATGTTCAAAACATAATGATTGGCCCCTAGGGCACAATTTCCAACAATAGAAGATATGTAACTCACCGGTAAGACTATTGGAATGCAAGCGTAGTTCAATCAGATTATGGAGAGATCCTATCTGTGATGGAATGCTCCCTGTCAATAGAGGTATTAGGTTGTGGGAAGATAAGTACAATATTCAAAAATTTACTTAATTTGCAAGCTAAGAGTAGAAATGGAAGATATATAACTCACCAGTAAGACTGTTGGAAGATATGTCCAGATAAGTGAGATTTTGAAGAGCTCCTATTTGGGATGGAATAATCACTGTCAATAGAAGTGTTAGGTTGTGTGGAGATAAATACAATATTTCAAAATTTAGTGACTTTCCAAGGTAAGAGCAGAAATGAAAGATATGTAACTCGACGGTAAGACTGTTAGAATACAAGCGTAGTTCAATCAGATTATGCAGCGATCCTATCTGTGATGGAATGATCCTTGTTAATAGAGGTATTAGGTCATTGGGAGATAAATACAATATTAAAAAATTTACTTAATTTTCAAGCTAAGAGTAGAAATGAAAGATATATTACTCATCAAATAAGCCCAGATAAGTGAGATTTTGAAGAGCTCCTATTTGGTATGGAATCATCCCCGTCAATAGAGGTATTAGGTTGTGTAGGAGTAAATATAATATTTCTAAATTGAGTGAATTTACAAGGTAAGAGTAGAAATGAAAGATATATGACTCATAAGTAAGAGTGTTAGAAGATAAGTATAGATGAATCATATTATCAAGAGATCCTATCTATGATGGAATGATCCTTGCCAATAAAAGAATTAGGTTGTGTTGAGATAAATATAATATTTCCAAATTTAGTGAATTTACAAGATAAGAGTAGAAATGAAAGATATATAACTCATAAGTAAGATTGTTAGAAGATAAGTATAGATGAATATGATTATGAAGAGATCCTATCTGTGATGGAATGATCCTTGTCAATAAAAGTATTAGGTTGTGCGGAGATAAATACAATACTTCAAAATTGAGCGAATTTGCAAGGTAAGAGCAGAAATAGAAGATACATGACTCACCAGATAGATTGTTGTGAAACAACTGTAAATAAATGAGCTTTTGAAGAGCTCCTATTTGAGATGGAATAATCCCTGTCAATAGAAGTATTAGGTTGTGTGGAGGTAAATACAATATTTTCAAATTGAGTGAATTTAAAAGATAAGAGTAGAAATGAAAGATATATAGCTCACCAGTAAGACTGTTGAAAGATATGTCCAGATAAGTGAGATTTTGAACAGCTCCTATTTGGCATGGAATAATCCCTGTAAATAGAAGTATTAGGTTGTGTGGAGGCAAATACAATATTTCAAAATTTAGTGAATTTGCAAGGTAATAGGAGAAATGGAAGATATCTAACTCACCAGTAAGACTGTTATAAGACAAGTCCAGATCAGTGAGATTTTGAAGATATCCTATCTGTGACGGAATGATCTCTGTCAATAGAGGTATTAGGTTGTGTGGGGGTAAATATAATATTTCCAAATTGAGTGAATTTACAAGGTAAGAGTAGAAATGAACGATATATAACTCATAAGTAAGATTGTTAGAAGATAAGTATAGATGAATCATATTATAAAGAGATCCTATCTGTGATGGAATGATTCTTGTTAATAAAAGTTTTAGGCTGTGTGGAGATAAATTGATATTTCAAAATTGATTGAATTTACAAGATAAGAGTAGAAATGAAAGATATATAACTCATAAGTAAGATTGTTCGAAAATAAGTATAGATAAATCGGATTATCAAGAGATCCTTTCTGTGATGGAATGATCCTTGTCAATAAAAGTATTAGGTTGTGTTGAGATAAATATGATATTTCCAAATTGAGTGAATTTAAAAGATAAGAGTAGAAATGAAAGATATATAACTCATAAGTAACATTGTTAGAAGATAAGTATAGATGAATATGATTATGAAGAGATCCTATCTGTGATGGAATGATCCCTGTCAATAAAGGTATTAGGTTGTGTGGGGGTAAATATGATATTTCCCAATTGAGTGAATTTACAAGGTAAGAGTGGAAATGAAAGATATATAACTCATAAGATTGTTAGAAGATAAGTATAGATGAATCAGATTATCAAGATATCCTATCTGTGATGGAATGATCCTTGTCAGTAAAAGCATTAGGTTGTGTGGAGATAAATATAATATTTCCAAATTGAGTGAATTTACAAGATAAGAGTAGAAATGAAAGATATATATAACTCATAACTAAGATTGTTAAAAGATAATTATAGATGAATATGATTATGAAGAGATCCTATTTGTGAGGGATGATCTTTGTCAATAAAAGTATTAGATTGTGTGGAGATAAATACAATACTTCAAAAATGAATGAATTTGCAAGGTAAGAGCATAAATAGAAGATACGTGACTCACCAGTAAGATTGTTGTCAAACAACTCCAAATAAATGAGCTTTTGAAGAGCTCCTATTTGGGATGGAATAATCCCTGTAAATAGAAGTATTAGGTTGTGTGGAGATAAACACGATATTTCAAAATTTAGTGACTTTCCAAGGTAAGAGTAGAAATAGAAGATATGTAACTCACCGGTAAGACTGTTGAAATACAAGCGTAGTTCAATCAGATTATGTAGAGATCCTATCTGTGATGGAATGATCCCTGTCGATAGAGGTATTAGGGTGTGGGGAGATGAATACAATATTTGAAAATTCACTTAATTTGCAAGCTAAGGGTAGAAATGAAAGATATATAACTCATCCGTAAGACTGTTAGAAGATAAGTCCAGATAAGTCCATAAAAGAGTAGAAATAGAAGATATATAACTCACCAGTAAGACTGTTATAAGACAAGTCCAGATAAGTGAGATTTTGAAGATATCCTATCTGTGTTGGAATGATCCCTGTCAATAGAGGTATTAGGTTGTGTAGGGGTAAATATAATATTTTCAAATTGAGTGAAGTTACAAGGTAAGAGTTGAAAGGAAAGATATATAACTCATAAGTAAGATTGTTAGAAGATAAGTATAGATGAATCAGATTATAAAGGGATCCTATCTGTGATGGAATGATCCTTGTCAATAAAAGTATTAGGTTGTGTCGAGATAAATATAATATTTCCAAATTGAGTGAATTTACAAGACAAGAGTAGAAATGAAAGATATATAACTCATAAGTAAGATTGTTAGAAGATAAGTATAAGATAAATATAATATTTCCAAATTGAGTGAATTTACAAGACAAGAGTAGAAATGAAAGATATATAACTCATAAGTAAGATTGTTAGAAGATAAGTATAGATGAATATGATTATGAAGAGATCCTATCTGTGGTGGAATGATCCTTGTCAATAAAAGTATTAAGTTGTGTGGAGATCAGTACAATACTTCAAAATTGAGTGAATTTGCAAGGTAAGAGCAGAAATAGAAGATACATGACTCACCAATAAGACTGTTGTCAAATAAATCCAAATAAGTGAGCTTTTGAAGAGCTCCTATTTGGGATGGAATAATCCCTGTTGATAGAAGTATTAGGTTGTATGGTGGTAAATATAATATTTTTGAATTAAGTTAATTTGCATAGTAAGAGTAGAAGTACAAGATATACAACTCACCAGTAAGATTGTTAAAAGATAAGTTTAGATGGATAAGTTTATGAAGAGATCCTATCTGACTTGGAATGGTATCTATCAAACCCCTTTCAGAAAGTGTGAGACGTTCTAGATTGGGAAATGCAGTGAAATTAAAATCTGCTAGACGGTAGCATTGTGTAGTCATCTGTTGATAATTCATCTCAACAAGGCTTCCAAAATCATTGCAAGATATGCCTTCCCAGTGACAAGGGTCTGACAAGTTGTGGGCTCTGTTGCTAAAATTCCAACATTTGGTCTGAAGTAAAGCATGTTTCTCCTCTTCTATCATGGCAACTGATGCTACACCATTAATGTGGAAGCAAGTTATTACAACAAAGCATAATAAAAATACCACTCTCATCACACCCATCGTCAGTTTCTTTGTCTACACAAAGCAATCATAAAATGAGTGCATCCGTAGAGTCTCTATATATAGAGCAATATTATTGAATCTCCCTTCGACGCGTCAAAGTCGTTGAAGTGTGTAGGTCCAATGGCAAATCGTCATGTGAGATTGCCTCAGTTGTTAATTAATGTTCTTAGTCAATATTAAAGTCTTTAGTCTTTGGAGTTATTATAGTGAAAATGGGCATGAAATTGCCAAATATGAGATGATGAACATCACAGCATAGTGGTCTGATGGAACTCTGAGTTAAAGAACCCATTATTTTTAACTTTTAGGATTATATTTTGAAAGACAAATCAAATTATGGAAATATACCTTTTCTTACCACTAGTTGCTAGCATGTTTCTCCTTTGCTATCATGGAGGTGGCAATATTATTAAAGAAAGTAATGGCAGGACATAGTCAGAAAATCACTATTTACCATCACAGTGCTTATTGTTGGAGTGGTCGACATAATTTCGGAGAATGCCACTGATTCATGCAACGTGATCATCAAATGAGTGCAGAGGTTGAGTCTTTATAGAAGCATAAATTTATTTTTCTTAAAAACAAAAGTATAACTTTTAAGTGACATATAAAGAAATGTGTTAACTAACTTTGACTATTAAAAATAAAAAAAACAGAAAGTAAATAAAACAAAAGCTTGTTTGATTTTATGCTCAACTTTTATGTTTTTAGAACTACTTTTTAGAATAATTTTTGAATACCAAAAATAAAAAAAAAATAAAAGATGTTAGAATCATTATTTCAAAAACCATACATAAAATGGTGAAGTGAAGGGTCAAAACTAGTTTGTTTTATTAACTTGATATAATTAACAGAAATATAATATTCTGCATCTCTTCCCTAATTTTGTAAAACAAAAGGAAGAAAAATAAAAAAAGCGTTTTGATTTTTTTTTTGTTTTAAGAACAAATTTTAATTTTGTTGCGGAAAAGCTTAATAAAAATACCACTATGACGCCCATCTTTTATTTAATTTCCTTCCACAAAGTGATGGTCACAAAATGAGTACAGTCTCAAGAGTCTTTACATAGAGAAATATTGAAATAACAAAAGGCAAAGGCTTATTTCTCTTTCGTATTGTTATGCAATCTTTATTTCTCTTTTGCAATGAAAGTTATGCGCACTTCATTATTCACTCTGGTTATTAATTGATAGGGCATTTATTAGTATTATGATCATCATATTTAAATTATTTACATCATAAATTGTAAAATGACTTTTAGATATTATTTATCACACTTTTGTTTTACTCAAAATGTGTACATTTTTTTATCAAAAAAATAGGGTTAAAGGTTAAAAACACTTATGAAAATATACCAAAACTTTACTTAACACCATGAACTTTTTTTGTGATCGAATTTACCAATTCAAGTTTGAAAAAGAGATTAACAATGTCAGCGTTGTTAAAATTAACAAACATCAATTTTTTTGTTGTGGGACCCACAGTTTTTTTAATAAAAATACCAAAATACCCTCAACTAAAACGGAAAAAAATTTAGAATCACATGAACTTATACTTAAAGTTGACCAAACACCATATAATATATATAAAAGTATCAAAATACACCCAATCTCGAAAAGCTATTGTATTAGAGTGTGTTAAAGATTATTAATTATAATAAAATTTTTATAATTAAAATAACTAACATAAAAAAGTTTAAGCTTGAATTGGATTGCTCTTCAATGTTAAGTTATTTATGTCCCCAATCTTTTTTTTTTTTAGTAGACATTATGGATATCTTTTAAAAATAAGTTACTTATATCAACAATACATGGAGCTGTGTGTTTATCCTCTAGTCTATGTTATCAAGTTTAATAGTGAACCTAAAATTTCTTTTATGTTTATGTTTAAATTCTTTGAGAAAATTTAAGGCTATTTTTCGTAGTTACAAAAATATTTAATTATTATGTATAATATTTATGCTATTAAAATATTTTCAGCCATTAATGAATAGAATAACTATAACAATAGGCTAGTTTTTATAGAAAGCGAAAAAATTGGCTAATAAAAAGCTATTGAAAAAGATTAATAATCTTTTTAATTATAAAGATTGGTGATATAAAAATTTATTATACTTAATAATATCTAACACACTCTAATGCAATAGCCTTTCAAAATTGATGGTATTTTGGTACTTTTATTAAAAATCATATGGTGTTTGATGAAGTTCATGAGTATTTTTTATCCTTAACTTGTTTTTGGATTAATTAGGGGTATTTTGATACTTTCACTAAAAAAAAATCATGAGTCCCATTGCTAAAAAAGGGACATTTGTTAATTTTGATATCATTGGCATTATTGAACTCTTTTTAAATTTGAATTAGTCAATTTCAACCCAAAGAAAATTCATGATATTGGGTGAAGTTTTAGTATATTTTTATAAATATTTTTGACCCTTAACCCTAAAAAATACAAACACCATGGAAACTAGTTTTTCTCTTCACATGGATTTATATTTATCAAATTGTTTTCTTTTTAAAACTTTGTACGTATATAATCTGTGAGAATAGATTACTGTAATAATCGTAATAGATAGTAGAGATTTCCCCCCCTTCTTTTTTGAAAAATCAAAGAAGAATAAGAAAAGAATATCATTGTTAATGTCTTCGTCAATATTAAAGTCTTGTATAGTAAAAATAGACAAGAGATTGCTAAACATGAGATGAACGCCACAACACATATAGAGATCCTATGAAAATCCATAAAAAGCAAACTCCTTATTAAAGACGTGGAAGGCGGGCACACATTAGAGTCAAAAGTCTTTGGAGAACATCCAAATTAAGACAATAGACATAAAGTAAAGTGTGAGAAGGGCATAATAAAATACAAAACTGGTCTATTGGGTCCCACATAATAGGAATTGGAATACAATAAACTTCAAATATGCTAAATAGATTCACATGAAGTGGATGACAATTAATTAGAAATGCCTAAATTTTTTCTAATTAACTGTCTTGGAAAAAACTACCACCCTCCATGAACTTCTACCAAATGGTCAAGCTTAGCCTTAACATTTCTTTCTCTAGTGGCCTAAAGGGTATCTGCAGCTCCAGAGTGATCAAACACAAAGTTTGAACATTTTTAAAATAATAGCGTTGTGGTCTAACGGCATATGAAAAATCTTTTCTAAAAGAAAGGTCACAGGTTTGATATCCCCTGTAATATAATCCTAGGCCTTTAGTACCTACTCAGCTGCCCTTTTCATTGAAAAAAACAAGCTTGAACATCTTTAGATATTTTTTTATGTAAGATTATGGGTTGAAACTTTAAAGATTCAAACTAAAATTATGCTAACTCCTGATTTTTTTGTTTATAGTAATGCTTAAATTTGTATTAGTAGTTGGAGATTACGAATTTCGATGTCCTGTTGTGGGATTTGTGTGCAGTGTTCAAGCGTCCCCAACCAGAAAAGAAGAAAAGAAGAAGAAGATAAATGTACTATATAACTAAAAGAATATAAAAGTATCATAAAAACGTAGAACGGAAACTCATGCCCGAAAACGTCAACTTTTTTCACCCGTAACTTTTTTTTTCATTTTAATTAGGGGTATTTTGTTACTTTCACAAAAAAAATCATGGGTCCCATTGCTAAAAAAGGGACATTTGTTAATTTTGATAGCATTGGCATTATTGAGCTCTTTTTAAATTTGAATTAGTCAATTTGAACCCAAAGAATATTCACGATGTTGGGTGAAGTTTTAGTATATTTTCATATATATATATATATATATATTTGACCCTTGACCTTAAAAAATACTACATCCGGTTCTTAATATAAAATCTTGTTTGACTTTTATTTTGGTCCTAAATACAAGACCCCAATCCATTTTATCTATCATATGTATACATTTTTTAAGGTAGTTTTTCTAATAATAACAGTTCTAGCCAATACATTTGATTAGTAAGGATATTTTAGAAAAGACAACATATATTTATTACAAATAACTAACTTAACTTATTTTTTTAATCTCTTCAAATTAGTCAACTAACTTTTATAATTAGGACCGGAGGTAATATAAACACTATGGAAACCAGTTTTTCTCTTCACATGGATTTCATCTATTTATCAAATTGTATTTTTTAAAAACTTTGTATGTATATAATCTGTGAAAATAGATGACGGTAGTAATTGTAATAGATAATAAAGTTTTTCCCCCTTCTTTTTTGAAAAATCAAAGAAGAATAAAAAAAGAATATCATTGTTAATGGTCTTTGTCAATATTAAAGTCTTGCACGGTAAAAATAGACAAGAGATTGCTAAACATGAGATGAATGCCACAACACATATAAAGGTCCTATAAAAATCCGAAAAAAGCAAACTCATTATTAAAGACGTGTAAGATGAGCACACATTCTGAGTCAAAAGTCTTTGGAGAACGTCCAAATTAAGGCAGTGGATATAAATGTAACGTGTGAGAAGGGCATAATAAAATACAAAACTAGTCTATTGGATCCCACATAGTTAGAATTGGAATAAAATAAACTCTCAAATATGCTAAATAGATTCACATGAAGAGGATGACAATTAACTAGAAATGCCTAAACTTTTTCTAATTACTTGTTTTGGAAAATACTGCCACCCTTCATGAACTTCCACCAAATGGTCAAGCTTAGCCTTAACAATTCTATCTCTGGTGGCCTATATGGTATTTGCAGCTCCAGGTTGATCAAACACAAGGTTTGAACATTTTTAAAATAATAGTGTTGTGGTCTAATGGCATATGAGAAATCTTTTCTAAAAGAAAGGTCACAGGTTTGATATCCCTTGTAATATAATCCCATGCCTTTAGTACCTACTCAGCTGCCCTTTTCATTTAAAAAAACAAGCTTGAACATCTTTAAATATTTTTTTTATGTAAGGTTATGTGTTGAAAGTTTAAAGATGCAAACTAAAATTATGCTAACTCCTGATTTTTTGTTTATAGTAATGCTTAAA